GAAAACTTCCATTCTTTCTATGTCACTGGGTGATATGTTAGCGTTAGAGAAGGGCTGGGGCCGAATAGTCACAGGATAGTCAAAAGCGAGGAGGGTAAAATTTATTATACCCTCGTTATTCTTCAGGTAATGGCATTCAAGGATTTCTTTTGGATTGTTGGAGAATTGGACTTTGAAGAATCATTGTTTTTCATTCCCCTCGCCTTGCCTTACCAGTTCTAATGATTTTTGTACGTACAAATACCTTTCGCCAAAGCAGTGTTACGTTGGCGAACAATATGCGAACGAGAACCAAATTTTCCGATTTGTGGCCTCCGTTTAGTCTTCCCCTATTGATTTCCATTTGGAACATCGAGAATCCACGAAAAACTCCGCTATGATAAGATAATCGCATCTAACAAGTATTTCGATTATGCACGTCTGTTCGTTGTTGACCCATCTCCTTGTGTTCATACCCACACTGGCTCCCAGATTCCCTGGCAGGAATCCGCAATTACTACCAACCGTCATAATTACACGTTGCCCATATCACTACACTACCGCAATCTGCAGTATCATTCGTCGGTGAATTATACGAATAAATCGATGCTGTTTTTGTTTCGATTTGCTTTCCCAGTAATTAATTCAACGGCGATTTTCAGGGCGGTGTGGCCACTGGCCTGTCGTGACGAATATTCTGTGAAATTCAGAAGCAGATGAGTTCCCCGACTGAAGAGCAAAATTCAATTCAGGTACCCCTACACTGTTACTTTGAAGGGATGTAAAAATAAGTTGAAATGCTTCTGCCTTAGTAGAGTGTGTTAAGATTTCGCTAGACTTGTTGCTTGTCATGAGGTTGGCAAGAATTTCCTCTTTATCGAACTTCGTCAGAATTTTATGGGCTGTAATATAAGGTCTGAACCAGCACATAGGTTTATTTACATTTTCATCGTTCTGTGCCACTCCTGAACAATGCCATAATATTGACATTGCCTTCCTTTCTATTTATTCAGTCTTACAGCACCAAACTGTAATGTTTGTGAATTCTAAATCCTGGGGTCCCATAAGTGTTAATCCGCTTAGGACAAAGTGATTGGTTGTGTGAGGAGCATTGTAAGCTGAGCTGTTTGACTGCCGCTCACTCGAATGTTGAGTGTCCGCCATCATCGACACGGTTCCTCTTTAGTTCTATTGTAAACTTCTCGGAGGAAACAATAGAAGTTCTCTGTGTAGCGTGAATTCCACGAATTCATCCAGCGCTAGATTTTACTACATTTTTATTTCTTAGGAACGTAAATGTATAAAAAGTGGTGTAATGGCGACTGAATTAGAATTTAATTCTCGGAAAATGCAAAAATCGAAACATTATATCGGCAGCTGGGAAATTCAGAGGCATAGGCCTTAGACTTGCATTGAGGCATCCATAAGGCTTACAGAGGAGATGATTCAAAACCGAAAAGCGTGCAGCGCCGAGGAATTTATCGAATCAGTACTCTTTTAACTAATTTGGAGCAACTTTTCTCTTTTTCTCTTCCAAATAATGCCATCGTACATTTTTTCGACAGTAGGAGCCATTATTGAACATATCTTTTGCGTTATTTCTCAAGTTATTTCTCATGTACAAACTATTCGTAGTTGTTAAGCAGTTTAAAAGAGATAGCTACTTAGAAAAGACTAATTCAGTTTGATGGCAACTGCCTCCTTCCTTTGCACATCAGGAACTGTTGAGAATTTGTTTGTTCCTTATTTATGCACTATTTTGTTTTTATATCGTAACTTGGAAGGAAACCGACGTATTAGCTGCTCACTTCAGAACGTCGGCTCTGTGGAGGATGGCGATAAACAATCGCGCCACGCCAAAAAGCCCTCGAACAGACCAGCGATGCAGATTTATAAACCGCCAGGTATATATCTGATCTTCATTACCAATCAGTAAGGTCACAGTCTTTTCTGATGCATACGTGAACAGATTCGAAGATAGAAGGTCACAGCCATCACATTCATATTTAAAACCAGTTTCCATGATTAAGTGTGGCACAATGATCTAGAAAACCTAGTGTCGGTAAATCGCACTCATTCCCCTTCCCCTGCAGTTCCACCGAATTACTGACTGGAATAGGAGCGCTTACAAAATTTGATTTTCGATGGAAATCTCCCCTGATCAGCATCTATACTTCACACAGCGTGCATAATTTCGTTACATTAATGTGCTGTGCACCTGTCATGTTTTTATCCTTTACCTTTATTGATTCGATTCACAACCTTTCCCCAGGTTATAATAGAATGATATTTACATTACTTCTTAACTAGTTTCCGTCTTTTTACCATAAATTTGTCACACTTCAAGTTTTGAAGCGCACTCGTTTGGGACAAGAATTCTCTAGATGAGTGGAAGATAAGCATTTTCCCCAAAAGAAGGATCCGTCATCCTGAAAACTACTCCAGCAAAGTGTGCTCAACATTTCTTTACCTACATGTATTCAATAGTGCGTGGGGGTATCCCTGTGACGGGACTAATTATCGCCCATGACTTTATCCTTTTATTTAGTAGTGCACTATTGGAGTCTTGCGAAGTATGTCAGTAACGATTTATTGCACGCAGGCTTCCCGACTCATTTTACTTTGGTTATAGCATTAATTCGAAGTGAGTTATAAGTTGATCGCGTATAGGTCGGCCGTAGGGACTACGATAAACACCGTGTTCTTTCGGAACTGTATAGATACCGATGACCGCAATATAGCAGTGTGCTTTTCAATGAGAAAAGCTTTGTTTTCCCATGTGCTGACGTTAATGCCTATTTACATAACTTGGCAATTGCTGACGCAAATGCGTGAAGGGATGTTTCACTGGCTCATTTTTCGAGGCGAAGGAATTAATTGCGTAAGAATAAAGCTAAGTTTCTTGTCCAGCCATCTGTAGTGGAGAAAATCTATAAGGTGAGGGAAGTAATGTGATCAGCTACAGTTAGATTTTTTGCAAAAAAATTAACTATAAGTGTTACCCAGTAAAGGCGAATGGTATGTAGGAATGGTTTCAAAAACATTTCTATAAGCTTGAAAACTCAGCACTAAAGATCGTGGTCGTATTGAAGAGCCTTTTTGCATCACTGACAAAACAAAAAACGGATGGAGGAGTAGGCATGTGATGATAACTTTCATGTTCATGGCTTAACTTTTGCTTCTTTAAAGTTTTCTACAATATTTCTGGTTTCCATACGTGTAGTACGCCGTCATGCATTGGTTCTTCTTCATGATTTCATCCATTCGTATTTCACTGTTTTCGCTACAAAATCTTAATCTTTTGACTGAAACGGTTCTATCTCTCGGAATCCTAATATCTGTCTATATTGTGTTTTTGTAGACGTTTACCAAGATTTTTGAACTCGTTTGAGAAACTGAAGTTCATCCTGCAGTAATGTCAGCGGCGTGCTTTTGTGAGTTCTTTCTACTTTTCATTTTCTTGACGTTGTCTATAAAGTAGTATGAGCTTTTTGTGGAGGACGTTNTCATGTTCATGGCTTAACTTCTGCTTCTTTAAAGTTTTCAACCATATTTCTGGTTTCCATTTGTGTAGTACGCCGTCATGAATTGGTTCTTCTTCATGATTTCATCCACTCGTATTTCACTGTTTTCGTTACAAAAACTTAACCTTTTGACTGAAACGGCTCTATCTCTCAGAATCCTAATATCTGTCCATATTGTGTTTTTGTAGACGTTTACCAAGATTTTTGAACTCGTTTGAGAAACTGAACTTCATCCTGCAGTAATGTCAGCGGCGTGCTTTTGTGAGTTCTTTCNACTTTTCATTTTCTTGACGTTGTCTATAAAGTACATAGTATGAGCTTTTTGTGGAGGACGTTCATCTGAATTTGCAGTGGTTAGTGATGCTCCCTTGGAGCTGGTCTCGTCGTTGCGGAAAACGAACGGGGGAAGCGAAGACGCTCTCACGCTGTACTTTAATAACTTTTTCCATATTTGTTGTCTCTCACTTCCTTCTATTAAAATTTGTTTTCTTCGAAGTTGGAAGCGGTGGCCGTTCCCGTCACCCGTCGGCAGCGGCAAACAGGCAACATATTCTTCACTGACGTCGTTTGCTACCGTAGTCCCGTGAAATTAGGATACTCCATAGTCATTTTTTGTGGTCTTTCGTTTCTCAGATGGCTATTTGCGATGCGTGTTATGGCCATATGGTTTGTGTCAAGTGCCACTGACAACTTGTAAAGGATTATCAAGCAATCATGTGGGAGACATGGAGTTCAATAAGAAATGAGTAAGGATAGACTGAAAAAAGATATGAAGGAGCTTTCTCGAAAGAGAGAGAGTGTGTGTATAGGCGCAGTAGTGGCTTTCTGGTCGTGATTCCCTAGTTATCCTCTGCTTATGACAGCCTGGTTACAGTCGTGTGGTTAACTTGGATAACAGCGCTTCGAAGAGGTAGTAGCAAAGATCCATTCAGTCTGGCAAAGCCACTATTCGGTTTCTTTTCGCTTTTAAACTGTGGACGAAATTGCTTATATTACTTTTTATGGAAATGTGTAACGAAATCTGCGGCTCTTCAAATGACTCATAAATGCATGTTTCCGGAAATCGGGCGATTCGAAAAGCAATCAGCTTCGTTCCAAAAGAACGCCTGCGATGCCATTAAATCAGCCAGCATATCTATACGAATTCACGTAAAGTAACATTGGAACAATCCTGAAACATAGAACCTTAGCAGCTTTCTGTAAAGGGCACGGAGACTTAACAGAATAGAGGTAGACCGACTGATGAGATGGTTTATGATTGTCTTCGAGTATGCTACTAGAACAGAGCATGAAGCATTACGTTGTGAGAGCGTAGTTAGAAATGAAATTAAATAGGTTTCTATTAATAGGTCTTCGATCTGGTGGATCCAGTGATGGCAGTGGCTCCTCTGCCGCTGGAGGAGCCACAAGCGGTGCGTCGTCAACCGTGACGGGATGCCCGCGCCCGCAAAGTCTTCCTGTTGCAAATACTCATCAGCAGAATAAGAGAACCAATAAAGAAGTCGAAGGTACATCGACAAGGAATTCCCACGGATAATCACATTTTTCATTGTTTCAGAGAACAACAATATTCGAGGGGCAGCATTGTCGCCGGATCATGAAACTGGTTCGCGTCATTCGGATTCTTCAAAGTCTCCAGGTTCGCAACGATTGAAGCGAACAGAGAGCAGCATCAGTTCTGAGTCACAGGTAATCCACTTCTTCCACGAAACATTAAGTGTCCAACTCAGTCATTGTACAGAAATCGTCTGGTTCCCGTGGTAGTTCTAATGTGGCCTTTGGAAGAGAAAATGCGCACACGTCCGAAAAACGTGCCAAGCAGCCGACTCCTCCAAAGAAAGAGCCAAAGGTACATTGGAGAATTGCAATCAGTCAACATAGTATAGTGTGCTGTAAAGCCAAAGAATTTGATGATACTGCCGATACTTTTAGAAAAAAATCATGACTGAAAGAGAAGTGATGGATGTCGCTGCAGGCCTTCGTGCTCTCAAAATCGGTGCTGTTACTAAAGAAATGGAGGACTACATATCATGTAAGTCAGTGTACTGTTTGGCAGCTTGAGTTATACATGTGCTTATCAGGTGGATTTGCTGATGACACTCTGGCCGAAAGCATTGGATCTGCGCTTTGCCAACACGCAATTGAAGGTGGTGGTGGTCGCGCAGTTGCGAAACTCTGTGGAGCGCTACGAGATTCTCCGTCTGCGTTCGCACTCAACAGGGTTGGCATACTTGTTTCAGTGCAACTGGGTCCGGTTTTAACAATGTTCTTTTGTACAGGGTTTGCTTTCATCAGTTTCGCAATACTTTGAATGCCGGGATCGGCTCCGTGCTGATCACTTTCGCATGTGGATCTCTTTCCTGGCCTTTGTTGCCGATCTGTATGCGAATATCGGAGGCGGAAAGGACGGTGGGTGTTTGGTGCTTCTCATTCCTCCCGTTCTCCATCTTGCACTTCTTTCTATGCCAATGTGTTATTACACAAGAACCTTTCGCATTGGTGTTTCACAAACCCTGTGGTTCTGATTTTCAGGGGAACTCGTGAATTTTGTCTTCCAAGTGTTCGATTATCTTCTGAGGGCGCCTATCTTGGAAACACTGAAAATTGAAGAGGTTTGACTTTTTTTGCTCATCTTGTAAGGAAACTTTGTATTCTAAGCTAGACACGTTCAAGTTTCCATGCAAGAATCGACCTGTGTCATACTCGGTTACTGGCCCCAAATGTTTTGGGTTCAACATNAGATGAAAAAAGACCCTTAGGGGGTCACTCATTTGGGCATTTCTGGAGGACCAGGTCGTACACAGTGAGAAGTTTTCTGTAGACAGTTCGGCCATTCCTTGTAGACAAGAACTGCTCTGATGTCCTTCAGGTGCACAGGTCCTCCTACATGATGTAGGAGTTGTTTAATTTTTAAGTTCAGAATTCTACACTCTTCCGATTTTACTGAGAGACTTTTAGCTCAGCCTCTTCTTTCACTATTTCCGTTAGGTCATGCTGGATTAATTCAATCAAGTTTTCTTGCAGCTGGAGTCCCTGATCTCAGCATTGTTGTCAGTGGGATATGACCTAGAACGGGAATGTCCTGACCAGCTCTCTCTTCTCAAAGATCTGATCAGGTTTGATTGTTTGTTGACATCGTAATAATTTTTCCTCACAACGATGTTCTCACTACAGAGATGCATTCATTGATGTCTCTGAACCATGGGCTCGTAAAATGATTCTTCTACTTCTGGAGCTGGGAGCTAGTGGATGGAAACTACCGGCAGAAGCAAACGAGTACTACTTTCAACAGACAACGAACTAATACCAAATGAAGATGCTCGCTGGTCAATATGAGTCACTGTCCACATTTTTATTCATATCCCTTTCTCTTTTTTTGTGTTTTTTGGCCGATGTTAACTTCTTTCTTATCCTGGGTCCCATACTATTAGCTTTTCTGTATATACCATAATAATGAGGGTTTTTTGGCCCCAAATATGTGAATATATGCCATGACCCCATGTGCAATTCTTTGTGCTCATCTTAGTAGAACTTTATTTTAATCATTTTTTTTTTGTTACTCTTGTATACTAAGCCATGACAGTTGTTCATTATTGAAGTCGTTATAGTCGTTCATCTAGTCGCTTTATCTAATTCATCACTGCAAGCGTTGTATGTGAAAGGCATGTGCTTATATTTATCTCTGTTTCTTTTTATACAGTTTATAGCCGCCTAGCTATTTAGAGTATCTTGATAAGCTGTGGAACCAGTGGAGCTTCGTTTTTATGGCAATTCTGTCCGCACATCGATTGATATCAATCGCAGTCACTTGCTTTTGCTGCAATATGCAGTACATATGTGAAGTTTAGCTNGGCTTTGTATATGTATGTTTTCACTGCTGACTAATTTTTTTGAGTGACTTAAGACTGCGGTGCTTTTATGCGTTATGGAGATGTGCCTTGATTTGTTTTTGTTTGTAATATTGTTGTACAGAGCTAACAAATATTGGAGTTTTTCTTCGTTGTTGTGTTATCTTGCGCATACGGTAATACGGCCAAAATCTCTCTATTCGCCCGTAAGGTGTCTTAAAATAGCTGCTCTTCTTTTAGTTATAAACATAGACATAGGCAGCCAATCAAACTTGAAGATTTTTGTAGAAAAGTTTATTTTCCCACGAGATTGGACCCTTGGGGAAAAAACTGTTGTTTGCAATACTCTTTGCTCAATGAACCTAGGCCTTTACTACCTACAGCTAGGGTCTGACATTTTTGATTTGGTGGGTTAGATCCGGGACCATATATGACTCGTTGGTATTTCTGGACCCTTGATACGAAGAAATCGCACTAACACGTTTCATACCCGACAGATTGGTCATTTGAACCTTGAACGCGTTGTCGTAGGACTGATAAGGACCAACAGTACTTCTGTGTCGCATTGATTATATGTTACTACCTTTGACTAGTAATGGCTTCTGATTTGGGGTGTTGAAGGTTTGCTTTACCTACAGCTATCAACTCTCTTCACAGAACAGTACCACATGTTGTGGTTTTGACTTACCCTTCTATTTTGATAATACTTCACTTACCACTGACGTTTCGGTTGAATCGCCTTCTTCGGAGCCTGTAGGTTGAGTTCAGACTTATGATTCGCAAGGTTACCTTCTAAAATTACTTATACAATTTACATCCGGGTCTTCAAGATGGTGAGTTATGGGCAAAATGACAGCTCTGGACGGGATTCGAACTGTCTTGTGGCTATTGTCAGCAGTTGATTAGAATATTGAATCATAAGATGTTAATTAGATTTTGAGTCATATGATGATGACGCTGACAAGAAGAGGCAACGACAACTCTTCTGTGATCTTCCGCTATCATATCTTCTGCTGGGGTTGTAAGGTAACCGCAGTTAGAAAGTGGTGTATAATTGCTGGAGCAGTTTTTCATTGAGACTACAATGGGTCTTTTGTGGTTATTAATTCCTAATGTAGGAGATCTAACAAATGTGTTAGGCCAAATTCAAAAGAATAGCTATTACCTGGTTGCGAAACTTTTGCAACTAAAAACTGGGTGAATATTTCTGGCGCACTAGTAGTTAAGCGCAGTAAATAACCTTGAAAGAAGACACAAAACGTTCACGGGATTCGCACCTGTTTCGAAACCTTTGGAACACGCAGTGAGTCATACTTGACAGATTCTCCGTTGGGCTTGCCTCTATAGAATTTCATCCGTTTGTCTTCTATCACAGTTATCACTGAATTCGTATGTATTGATCGAATAGGAATGGTACTCGACCGTGTGCCTTGATGATTATCAACTATCGATTCCACTTCAACTGTTATTCTATTTGCACTGATATTTTCCGCTCTCGCTGTGCTACACTGCTTTTAACGCAAACATTTCTGTTATATAAAAACAGTTCTAGTACAGTCGGTGGAACCGATCTCTTCAGATAGTACCAGTTTATGTCGACCATGTTCTTGCAGAATGTTCGACATGCGCTGAATGCGGTAGGACTGTTATATTTATTATCCAGTCAAGGACCATGTAGGCTGGGGAGCAGGGCGAGGGGGTTGGGTTGGTGAGCAGTAGGCTGGATTTCCGCTTTCCACGGTCTACTTATTCTGGTGAATGTTCCTGGGTTTTTTCTTTAGGTAGATATGGAACAAAAATATCTGTGTTCCGTGTTTTTTTTTTTTTTTTTTTTTTTTTTTNGGGGGGGGGGGGGGTCTTTCTGAAGAAACAGTAACTAGGTTCATCAAAGAAAAAGATCGAGCACATGCTGTAATGAGAGCCTTTCAAGTTTTCCAAGTTCCCCTAACCTGGCTGTGGATGACAATTCTGATTACATAGATAAATGTAGTCGACATTTAATTCCAATAGGGCCGCTTTAGGTATGTTCACAAAATAACTGCACGGCTATCGATCAGTGTGCACGACTGCTCAAAAGCCTGGTTTAAATGCGATGGGAGATGGGTGAAAACGCCATGCAGCTGCTGTGCCTACAAAATTAGGCTGCAATTGTAGAAAAAAACTGGGGCTGTAGTTGAAAGGATCATTCTAAAATCGGGTTGTCCGCGAGTGGCAGGTGTACGATTATTTCGATACGCACCCAAATGCGGTGAAGAATTTCAAGAATTCGGGAGTCCATGCGAGTGTTTGTTCAACGGTCACCACATACCACTGCTTCACAATAGAGCGCAGATGATCTCTTTAATCTTAAGTCCTTCTCCTTCTTTTCTTGTTAAGGACGAAGACAGCTGGAAGGTAGATACCAACCGGAACAGCATTTGTCATTCCTAAACAGTGATATGTAGAAAATTTGGGGCAAGCGAGGTAAACTAATGTTTAAACTGTTTATCAGGTGGTGCTGGGAATGCCTGCCCGAACCAAACGACCCCGAGAGAACAAAGAGCCTTGCCGGAGAACTAAACCAGCGACTAAGAGAGGTGCGTATTTTACGCGACTCTTCCAATATAATGCTTAGGTAGAGCTTAGCTTGAAACCCGTAAAAGAGATGTATTTTGCTCCAATCTGATAAATGTTAATACCTGTACATCCCGTAGTCTTGGTTATTTGGGCCAGGCAACACGAGCATTGGCCTTTGAAGTAATACATCGGTTCAAAAGAAAAGGCATGCTTTCAGTCATGTAACTCGCGCTTTGCTAGTTTCAGTCGTCAGTCCATAGAGGGAGGCCTAATCTCTGGTCGGAGGCAAAGATCCTTGAGTCAATTAGCATGGTTGTTGTATTGGAGCTCGGTTCGTCACCCCATCCAAATGCTAAAATGGTGGTTCACGGTGAATAACCATTAGCGGAGAATTCCTAGTAAATAATCCACAGAATGGAACTGAAAATATGTTTTTGAAGTACGGTGGGCCTGTTGCAGGGCGTTTTTCTGTAACCACACTACTATGAGGTTACTGTAATCCGAATGCTCCTCATCTTTGCACTTCTCGACAATTAAGCGTTGAGCCAGTGAAATCGTAATTTTCTGTTATCTATGTTTCTATACCAGTCCAATACTCAATTTGAATATCATACAGGCATTTTACGTTTTCCGGTCTTTTTTCGGCGAGCGTAATTAGATAATAACAATTCCAACTGTGGTTCGGGAGTTTCAATCGATAATCTAACCGTCACGAGAAATCCATGTAAATTGCTACGCTAATTTCTTCTGTTTACTTGCTGCTGTATTTGCAGTCACGGAGTTTCTGCCTTTTCTTTTGGATTTCTTAAAACAAGTGAAAAGCACCAATATTTTTCGACACCTGCTTGTTTGTATTGCGCGTAAAATAACCTTAAATTTCTCGAATTTCTGATAAATCTTGTACTTTTTGATGCTTGCCTCTGTGCATTGCCATAATGTTCGTTCTTTAATAAACTTTAGAACAATTCTTTTAAGGGATGAGCGTGCTCACTAAACGAGACGCCTCACAGCAGGTGAAGTTTGAAGAGTTCATGTGCCATTTTAACCAAGGACGATCGAAATTGATGGAAGCCGTCGACATCGACGAAAAGTACGATGGTGAGTTAAAAGCCCTTTTACCAAGTCTGTTAGCACATTGTTTTACTGTCTTACAGACTCCTTCAAAGAGAAGAAAATTTTGGCTTGCGAACTTTATAAACATGGGATGGACGCGTTCAAAAAAGTAAGAATAAACGATCCACGAAAAACTTACAGTAATTAATAATTAGTAGTTACAATAATTAATGCAGGCGGAGGCAATAAACGTTATGGATGTTCCCGTGGACAAAAGGAAGGAAGTCGCTGATGCTAAGGAAAGAATGAAAGGCTATCATCGCAGTGCGCAGGAGCGTTTCATTATTCTCAGTAAGGCTATCGTGTTGGAGATCCTTTGGGTATTATTTCATGGGTTAATGGTTTATTTTAAGTGAACAAAATACAAGGTACAAACAGACCAATTCATTCAACTTCACTTCCTGGTCCCTCCAGTGCTCGGGCTGCCTCTCCAGCACGAAGAGGAAATCGGCTAAACTCTGCTCCATCGGTAAGTAGTCACAACTTTTTTGAGGACTTCTGCAATCCATCCAGGTCTTCCGTCATTTTTCCTATGAGAGGTTCTTCTGTTACCACCGAAAGTAGCCTTGCAATTTCTTGTGAACGGCTTTGAAAAGGCTTCTCTTGGGAGTGTTTTGCGTTCAAGTCTTTCGTTGATAGATTGCGAGTGTAAATTACTTTTCCAAATATATTTATTCAATACAAACAGTTTTCCCTACTTTTAGAAAAACTTAAGGTCGATGGAAACAACTCAGTGTTATCGAGAAACGCTCACGGGTTATAACTGCATAAAATTAGTAATCTTTAGTTTGTAGATTGTCTTTTAGAACATTCAGAACCAGAGGACAAACGCTTGTGCACCGTTGCCCACGCGTCAGCAACTTCTCAAAGGAGTAGATCCCAAATTTGGCGAGCGTCTGCTTGATGAAATGCTCGATCGGACTGGAGTTCGCTTTTCCGATGTAGCAGGTTGTGAATCGGCCAAAGAAGCGCTCGAAGAGGTAGTTGTTGTGCCTACTTGGGCAATAGCAATTAGGAATCACAATCGTTTCAGGCTGTAATTTTGCCAGCCATGAATCCAGGGCTGTTCAGCGGTCTTCGTCAGCCTGTTAAGGGTATTCTGTTGTTTGGACCTCCTGGTAATGGAAAAACAATGCTCGTGAGTTCAATAAATTGGCACTTATATGTCGTGTGGATGCTCTGTTATCATTTGTGCTTCTTGTATTAGGCGAAGGCTGTTGCGTCGGAAGCTCGTCAAGTTTTCTTCAATATTTCGGCGGCTAGTTTAACCTCAAAATGGGTTGGAGATGCAGAGAAAACAATTCGTAGTCTCTTTCAAATCGCTCGGAATGCTCAACCTGCTATTATTTTTATCGGTCAGCTAGCTAATTTGCTTCTTTTATATTTTTAGTATTTATTCCCATGAACTTGGTATATATTTATTAGAAAAACTTTTCACTCTCAAGCTTTTCATACACATGTACGGAAGCATTGTTCATTGCTTACCGCCCACATATTCTTAATGAAAATTTGAAATAAGGGCCTCAGAGCGCATGTAGATTTCTACATTTTATCACTATCGGCCGCGCTGATTTGCTGATTTGTTTGAATTCTTCGTGGGTCTGATCGATTGAGATGATACTATGCCAAAAAAATTCAAATAACTTTTCTTCCTGTACATCTGGGACATGACAGTCGAAAGACATGATGTACAAGTTTCTTGGGGCAGAGTTTTTCCGAGTTTTTTTTTTGCAACCACTATTTTTTATTGATTCCATATGTTGGGCAGCGAACAGTGTCTGCATTGATCGTGTTGCACTTTTTATGTGCTTCGCGTTATAACAGTAGTTCGAGGGGGTCGCCCTAAAAAGTATGATTGTGAAAACCTTTTTTCTGTTGCAGATGAGATTGATTCTATCCTATGTGATCGGTCCGAGAAGGATACAGAAGTGTCTCGAAGAATGAAAACTGAGTTTCTTATTCAATTTGACGGTGCAACCAGTAATCCTGACGACCGAATCCTTGTAATTGGTGCAACAAATCGGCCACATGAACTTGATGATGCTGTGTTGAGGTACGATAATACATACGTGATTTTGACTGCGACTTTGTTACTTTGGAATGGAAGGTGAATTGATGCTATATAGGTTTCTAGTTTATTTTCTGAGATAAATAGTCAGGCCATAGTGTTTGCCATTCGTGTAGGAGTTTTATGCTGCTATCTGGCAGGTTGGCCGTCGTGTCAGTTGTTGGTAACGGATCAGTTTTCATAGGACATTAAACCATAGAGCAGCTCGAATTTCAACATCTCGAACTGTCATATATGAGATTGCTTACGCTTGCAAGAGCTCTTGTATTTTTCACAATCTGTTAAGGATCGAACCATTTCTTTGCCTTGCTCCAAAGCGCATTTTACTTCAGAAGCCCGAATATCGGTAACGCGTGGCATACGGCTTGAGTGGCAAAAAGGTAGATAAAAGGCGGTTAATCTAGCTAGACCGAATTTTTGTCCCGAGAAAGGTTGTGGTCTTTGAATGACAAAATGTTAATTGTGTGGAGAATTCAATCAAACATTCAACAACACTATGGTGACTTTCAGACGTTTCCCCAAACGTGTGCTACTGGATTTACCGGACGAAAAAGCTCGCCGCGTTCTCCTAAAAGCGACTCTTGAGAAACATAATATGGCTGCCGGTCTAACTGATTCTGACATAAGGTCATTCCTTCTTAATATTTTCGTTGCATGGACCAGCTTCGAAGAAAATACTGCATCTTTTTTGAGTTTAGATGGATTGCGTCGCAAACTCATGGTTACTCTAACTCGGATCTTGTCGCATTGTGCAAAGAAGCGGCCATGGTCCCGGTGAGAAGCATAGATCGTAAGAAGTTGGCAACTTGTGACGAGACTAAATTGAGGAATCTCAGGGTAAGTTTTCGATTAACTTGTTCTCTCCTTATTCCTAGGAGGTCGCTCAGTATCGTTATTTAGTGTTCCGATTTCGATCAAGCTTTAACGGTGATCCGGCCTTCATCAAATGTCCGTACCCTTCATGCCTTAGCGGATTTCGCTAGACGAGCCGGACAGGGTGGGTGACGTCTCCCGAACGAAACTCGCTGTACGGGTTCTTAAAGGCTTTCGTGGTCTTTTTGCTTGGTGAACTTGTCCACTCATCATTATCAACATCACCACGAGCTCAGTTAGTACAAGGTTATAGTCGTCGATACCTTCATCGATTCAATGTTCACCTGCGCTTGTCACATATTTTTTCTCTGAATCTATGTTCTTCTACGCTTTGACCCAATCTTCTAAATTTCTTTGAACCCCGTTTTTTACGAGCTTAGGATATTCATATTCGTGTAGTATTGTGATTTTTCGAACAGGCAGTGTGAAAAATTCTGATCTCTGATCTGATTTGTACTGCGCAAATCGGTATATTTTTT